CTGTTAAGACAGCAGGTAAAAGTTGGTCTGTGTTCTGTCGGAGCTGCCTGCGACGCGCTGATGAGATCCAAAAAGATCGAAATCGCGATCCGCGTCTGGCAGTTTCGACAGAATACAGACCACTTCGAATTATTTTATTCGATTAAGCTAACGTGCCTATCACGTTGAGGTTGGCTACGCCAGGATTCGTTTTCAGCAAGTAGATATCCACACAAGTGGACCTTGTTGAAAAATACGTAATCCTAAAATGTAGCATCGTGTTACAGATGGCGTTCACTGTGCCGTTTGTCGTATTTCCTTTGTAGTATTGCTTGAAGTAAAATTCTGTTGCTTTTTGCGACGTTTCTTCGGCTTAAACGCCAACTTCATTAGGCTAGTCTTAATATTCAGAACTGTGCTGTTGGTTAGCCTGATGAGGTTGCCGTTAAGCCTACGAAAGATCGCAAAATTCAACAGAATTTCACTTCAATACCAACACTGATTATCAGCTCTTGGCTGATCGTGTGTTTATGCAGTAAAGCAATACGATAATAAATAACTAAAAACATTTTTAAAAGTAGCATAGATTACTCTTGACAAACTCTTTTTCATGTCTGTAAAGTCTCATTGGAGATTAGCTCGTATAGAAAGACAGACTATACACTAAATTCCCAGGTAACAATTCTGAATTCTGTACTAAAACTTGCGTTGAAAATCGTGTATCTGCTGCTGCTCTCACATTTTTCGAAAAAGTCATTTCCCTTATTTTGATGAGTCAATAGAAGCTGCTGACTTTTGTGTCTGCTAGCAAACACCACATTCGACTTTATTTCATATTTCATTGAATTTGGAGAGTTGGAAACTAATTTTGGCTTAATATCATGCCGATGGAGTTAGAAAGCAAATCATGAATAATTCGAAGATTTTTCAAATTATCGCAAAAAATAATTGTAATTTGTTATCTAGGTATTCAAACACTAACTTCAGATTGTTGAAAATAGTCTAAATTATTTTGTACTATTTTAATGGTAACAATGACTTTGTTCTAAAAAATTAGAAACAAAATAGAAGTTAGAGAAGGTATCAATCGTGATTTTGTCCACAATGACGTTCCTTTAAATTTACAAAGGCGAATGTTTTTGGGACACTTATTAATCGCTAAATGTTCCCTTTTTCCTCACATACTACAATTAGATTAAATGTTAGATACATTGTATTTTAGTGTAATTCAACTTACTCCACTTTGGAGATGTAAAAAACATTTGTGCCCATTAGTGACAATTTACCTTTTTTCGGTAATAATAATACCCATGGTCGACCCGGTCAGCTTCCGATTCTAAAGATATGTATCACTAACAGAAGTTACATCAATCACAACACTTGCAGAAATTATTTACTTCGTTAATTTTAAACGAACTTTATCATCACATAATCAAACACTGCTCATTAGCTGTTTATAGTCTGATAAGAAGGAGTTCATATTATATCATTGCCAATCGATAGAAGACACAGTTAATTATACTTAGCACAAATTAAACACTTCCCGGGATAGTTTTCGTTTAGATTAAATAACAATCGTAAGTATGTAATTAGTTGCTGACTGTGTGATTGGATTAGTTTAAGTAAGTGAACAACCAGTTAACGGGTTGGCGCGGTAACTGATTTCAAACGGCAGAACTGTGATAGTAGTCGGCTGCAAGAACTCTAGTAACAAAAACAAGCTTCTGGCGGGTGGGGTCCAAGTTGACGATGGTTCGTTGTTGTTGTTGTTGGTTGTTGTTATTCTGTTGCTGTATTACAACGACAGTCAAGAAAAGCTTCTTTGAAAGTTACCACGGTTCCTTGAACAACCGCTTCGGAGATGCGTACGTGCGGGATCTATAACTTCCGGTGTATTACAATGCATATCCCTTATAACTAGGGTTGCCACCCGTACTTTATTATGAAGTATTGTACTCTATTTCGACTGTGCGTACGTTATACTTTACAAGACACATAAAGTACGCAAAAATACTTTATTTAAGGCCTTCAGTAAACATCGTAATTTTGTAAGCGATTATTCGAAATTCAGAGTATTTTTCCATCAATAATATTGCACAGAAAAATGGCAAGCCACATTTACGGAACAACCTGATTTCCCAAATCTGTTCAAAGTAGTGTCACTTTCGTTCCGGCCACTTCAGCATTTACGTAAAGAGTATTCTCTGTTATGAATGCAAAGTGGCGGGACGACAGGAATAAAGCTTCATTAAGACTAATTAAAAATGAACTTTTAGTTTACTTAAATCTTTGTTTGCCATGTTTAGAGGCTATTAATGTATTTAAGAGCGACAGCAATTTGTTACTGGCTGCTAGGTGTAACAAAAAATATGTTTTTAAAAACAAAAAATAAAATACTTTATTTTTATGCTGAGTACTTTTATTTTAACCTTTTAGTCGAGAAATACTTTGTGTAAAGCCTGAAAAGGTGGCAACCCTACTTATAACGTCTCATTTACTTTTATTTTCTTACTTATTATCTCATTAGCTTTTTATATTGTTTCTGTTTGTACTCCCGCACGGGAAGAATGAATGTTTGTAGGGATATTGTAAGTAGTAAAAGTTTCTTATTGAGAAATAGTCTTCATAAAAGCCTTCATTTTTATACCAAAATTAAGTAAACATTTGCAAAACGCTGAGGAAATATCTCAAATGCGAACAATTGACAAACATACAAGAAGCGCCCACTGCGATCTCTTCCTATTCGGGAACAGGAAGGGGGGTAGACTTGTTAATTTGCTGCTAACGTCAGCATTTGCTGGTGCTGGCAGAGTACGAGGGATGCTTCCAAGGTTCTAGGAATTTAGGTATAATTTTTATTATTTTGTTAATTTTCGTCAATATTACAATGTAATTTTTCAACATAATCTCGATTTAAGTAAATAAATTTATCCCAACGATAAACTAATTTTTTTAAGCCGTCCTCAAAGAATTTTTTCGGTGCGTCTTCATTATGGAACGTTTACGTCAGATAAACTTTCAAATCGAACACTCCCTAAAGGTTTTTTCAAATCTGGGAACAGATGATAATAATCACTGGGTGCAAGACCCGAGGAATAAGATTGGTAGGGAAGCAATTCCCATCGTAAATCATTCAAAACATTTTAGGTTTTTCGTCTTGCATTATCCTTTTAAATAACGGAGGATTCTGTAACTTTCCAGGTCATTTTTTCACAAGTACCTGTCTCAATGGTCCGGATATTAAATTCGGATAATATTCTGCGTTAATTGTAACAGCTTTCGCCAGATAATCCATTAAAAAATCCGTTCGAAATGCCAGAATACACTAAGCATTACTTTTCTAACAAACAGAATTGCACGTGCCTTCAGTGGAGGCCCTTCTTCAGGTTTGCGCCATTATTTCGATTGAATTTTGGTCTCAGGATTGAAATAAGGAATGAATCGGCCGGGTACTTGGTTTGGATCCGACACAACTTTTGTAGGATTCGGCCAGCCACGAGACTTAATGTGCTTTGGGACGTTGGCTGGTGTGGTATTTTGTGGAAAGTCCGCCAGAATGAAGATATGAACCATTAACCATGGTGGTTTTTTCTGGTACACGGGGCACAGCGAATGTCAGTAGTTGGTACCCGGTAAACTCACTATCTAGTGCGTCTCTAGCCGACACTATCCAAAAAGTAGGTGATGAGGCCATTACTGAGCTACTTAGAAGCTGATGCCGACTATAAAAAATTATAAAAAACTGTATTTTTATGACTGTAACGTTTGTATTAGTAGAAAATAAGAATCTTTAGTTTCATCTTGATCATCCTGATCGGAACTACTATTTATCAAATTATTGTATTTTCGATGATTTTTGACACGTATTTAGGACATCAACGCGAGCGAATCCGCTCGAAACGCTTGTTGCTTGAAAAAATCATGAAATGCTAGTAAGAGGTCATCCATAAAATACGTCAATCAGAATTTCACCTTTTTGGACTCCTTCGTCGCAGTTCCTTCCCCTATAAACGACTTCTTGTGACTGCCAAGTTAAGAGTAATATTAAAATAATATTGATGCCCGAGATAAAAATGTTCAGTCTCTCAGAGTCTCTGAAAGCGAGCCTTGAGTCTTTCTGGTGTCGCTGAGAAAGACTGTCGAGAGACTGTCAAAAAAACTGTTTAACGTATCTGAACAAGAGACTCGAGCTGCTTATAGAGAGATCCTCATTTCCTGTCCAGTCTCTGAAGGAGAGACTCAAATCTCTGAACGAGGGACTGGAATCTCTCAATAAGTGGTGTCCAGATAGACATGGTTAAAAGTTCAACATATTTCAGAGATCCCAGTCTTTCTACGAGAGACTCGAGTCTCTCAATTTTTCAGTTTTATTCATTCAATCTCTCTGTGAGAGACTCGAATCTCTGAATTAACAATTTTATCGTTCGAGTCTCTCATACAGAGACTGTGAGAGATCCATAAAAACACCTAGGAAATAACTGAGAGACTGTAAAAGACTATGAGAGACGCTGTCAGAGACGCTGAAAGACTCTGAAAGATTGAGAGACTGGAGAGAGACTGAAAATTTTTGTCTAGGATGAACTGCGAACGTCACATTTCCTTAAACCTCCCCGCTCTCCTTTGTGATAACTCGACACGCTAAGCAATATCCCTCCCATCCCCTTATTTGCGAAAGTATTTTATAAACGACTCCCAATATAGTTCGTATTTATTGGGTAATGGTTAAGCTTTAAGATTTTGGAATGTCAAAATTCAATCTTGTATTTATTTATGAGTAAAAATAAAATTGTAGTACTTATTTTAATATATTACAATATTGTTGAAGTCATAAAGTATTTGCTAACGTAAAGAATCCTGTATTGCAGTTTGAAGCGGGTGACTTAATAGTTCACTCGTCATATTCGTTGTCAGAAAGTTATTAACCATAAAAATTGATTTATTACACAATTCAATGCATAAGCTTCCTCATCTAAAATAACTGAAACATTGTTCAGTATGACAGTGAAATTCCATTATTCCATCGCGCGTCTAACAAAATTAACTTTCGAATCCACGGGAACGATGAACTGTACACAAAAGAGGCATATTTTTTACTCACAATTATTGTACAGTTCTCGTGTAGTAATTATATAACGTGTCCTTTCCTCGCATAACACATGACAGCCACCTTTAATAACACTCGGGCCGTGCAGCGACTTCATTGTCTCTTTTATTTCATCGCGAATTGTGCTAATAAAGGAACAGTTTTTGTAAAGATGGTATCAGACTATTAGCGGTTTCGCATTACTAATATTCTTTACTAGACTGTATTAGAGTACACGCAGACTGTATCACGCATAAGTACAAAATGGAATAGATAAACGACGAGAGATATAAAATAATTATGCAAATCAGTTAGAAAAAGTGTGGAGGTGTATGTCCAACCAGTTTTAGGACTGACAACCTTGTCATGATAAAGCCTTACATACCAGACCAGCCTATTGGCTAGTTTATTTGTAATTTCATCTGTGATTCTAGCAAAACCACCAAAAATGTCTAGGTTAGGGTTTACTGACAAGTAAAATTGATTAGAACGATATTAAAATCTCTACTCAAAGACAAAAGCAGATTAATGATCTTTTAGGTAATAGTTAATCGAAATCCTTTGAATAAAATGCATTTTTTCTGTCGGCCTCCTTCGTTATAATTCCACATTCACCGCACAAGTTCGTCGGTCTAGAATAGAACACACGGTTATACGCTTCGCATACGTATAGTCTGGAAACACTCTTAGCTGCAAACGAGAGCGAAACCGGCAAGGTTAGAAATACGACTTTCTCTTTCGTTTCTTTTCTTTCGTGGGCGTCGAAATTCGCCAGGTATTTTTTAACGGTCAGGACGTTTGTGGTCACGTAGGTCTTGGTGGAAGACGTCCGTCGGTCGGTTGTTCTCTCACCGACCCAGATTACCGGAAAACTTCTCTGATGTAAACAAAATCATCCAACTGTTAAATGCTTTTTCTCTTAATTACCTTGATCCTAACGGAATGGACACGTTGGAGTAAGGTCGGTAAATAGATTGCTGTAGACAAAAACTATTTGACAGATGATGTTACTCATAAGCTGTAAATTGGTCGATAAATTAACTGCAAATTCTTGAATTTAGCAAGAAATCAAAGCCCCATGTGGTTATAGCGTTATTTATTTAAAAACTATAGCTAACATTTTGCTCACGTTGCTGGACTTTTTCAATGATGGTTATTTAGGATGAGAGTTAAAGGAAAAAAAGAAACCCGTATAATCCATCGTTGCCCGTCTGTCTGTCTGTCTGTCTGTCTGTGGAGGGATCAAGTGATAAAGAATATTAAATACTCAGACCTGCAATTCCTTGGAGCTGTGAAAAAGTCAAAATAATCAAAACATGCGGTCGCTTATGTCGCATATTTTATCACTCGCAAGGGTAGCGATAAGCAAAGTTAGATCAAGGCCAAGACTGTCCCAGTCTTGGTCGTGGTCTCGGTCTTGCATATTCGGCCTTGAACTTGGTCTTGCTCAAATGTTTCTAGTTTTGGTTTTGGTCTTGGTCTTGCTCAAATACTTCTAGTCTTGGTCTTGGTCTTACTGATGTAGTCTAAGTTTTGGTCTTGGTCTTGCTCAAATACTTCTAGTCTTGGTCTTGGT